GGCTCTGGATCCCGTGCGCGAGCAGCAGCCTCCGCGCCGAGCGCCCAAGATGTCCCGCGACACCCTCCTGCAGGCGACGCTCTGCACCTCAGGCGGCCTCGAGCGCCGGAGTCGTCTTGCCTGCACCTTGTCATAACTTGGGAGTTGTGGCTCGGTGCACGCACCATGGGCCGGCTTCAGGGACTGCCCGGGTGGGAGTCGCAGGGCTGATGGGACGCCAGTTCTTTCAACCGTGGTTTCCCAGGAAGCCAGGATGATGTGTGGAAGCTTGTCGGGAAGTTTTCCTTGAGCACCCTAGCTGCCGAGGAGTCCCTGGCCACCGTCTCTTCTCAGGTAGCCAGAAGGAAGAGGTGTGCTCCGTTGCGGCCGTGAGCCAGGCCAAACTTCCCGACAGCGATCCTGAACCCTCCGCGGAATTGTCAAAGAGGATTCTGCAGTAGGGACCTCTGTCCTTTCGGCACGGGTCCTGGCCAGATCTTGGCTTGAGCGGAAGCCACGTTTCCCCCCCTGCTAGGCTGTGGCTCGCGGGCCACGCTAGAGGTCTGGCCTTCATTTATGACTGTGACAGCGTAAAGAAATGAGGTTGTGTGTGCAACTCGCATCAGCAGAAGTACTCACTGCACCCACCCACAAACACCCGTCCAGCTCTAAATAGGGTCCTCCTTGCCCAAAGATGAGGTTTTAAAGATGGCTCCCATACACGGTGTGGGTGGGGGACTTCATTTTGCCCTGCAAAACTTTCTCCCGGATGGGAGGTTGGTCGGTTCAGGATGCAACTTGGATCACTGCCTTCTTGTCATTTGGGGGCCTAAAATGTCAAATCAGAAACTCTCTCATCAACCGTGGAGAACTGATCTCGGGCAGAGCATAGCTAGGCATTTCATGCACTTCAGGGCCGTAATGTGGTGAATTGTCCAGTCCAGAAGATCCTCCTTAGGCCTTGTAAAGCTTGCCAAAGTGGGCCTTCACTGTTCTTGCAAAGTCCAGTTGACGCGCCAAGCGTTATCCTCCGTATCGATTGGCGATAAGGCACCAGGGCCTTAACCGATTCAGAGACAGGCCCCCGGGGAACCACACAGGTTGTAGGATGTCACAATATCAGCGCAACTGCCGAGACACCCAAGGGGGATGGTTGCGGCGGCCCAACTTAACACTTTTAAGGCCCCTGCCTTGCTCGCACGCCTCCGTCTTTGGCATGGTGCATCGCCTGCTACTTGGGTCGTTCGATTTGCACTTTCCTAGTGGGAAAAATGCGGCATCCTTCCCTGTATCGGCTTTTGATCCGTGTCGTATCGCCTGCACAGCATTCCTTCTGCGCACAACGCAGGCCAGGTTGCTGATTTGTGTCTGGCTCATCACTATCGCAACCCCTTCCCTGTTTATTTCTGGTCTTTTTCTTCTGGTCTTCATCCAAACAGGCTGTTTTGTTATGTTGTAGGTTATTCACAGGGTTTATTTTAAAAAAAGGTTTTTGAATTTTCGTATTAAATGTTCGGGGATTCTGTATCCTAACAGCTTCCGGGCAAAAAAAAAGGTTTTAAGGATCTCTGTACAGAATCCCCAAACGTGAATATTGAAAAGCTGTTAAGACGTTTCTTGTCTGTTTGATTGGTGCCATTTTTTGCTAGCGTTTTGGAAGCAAGTGAGGCTGGAAGAGGGGGGGGGGGGAGAAGTTTTTAAGAAGTTGCCCCACAAAAAGGTGACCCTGGAGAAGGAAGTGGAAGCTAGCAGATTGGGACAAAAAGAAAGATGGCTTGGAGATGGATAAGTGGTCCAGTGGTCTAACAAGGTGAAGAAACAGGTGGCTTTTAATGGGCAGTTAGGTATCTAACTTGCAATATCCTAAAGCAGGGGTCTCTAACCATGGCAGCTTTTAAGACTTGTGGACTTCAACTGCCAGAATTCCTCAGCCAGCTTTGCTGGCTGAGGAATTCTGGGAGTTGAAGTCCACAAGTCTTAAAAAGTTGCCATGATGACTCCCGTCTTAAAAGTGTTGGGTCTCTACAAACCTCCCCAGGGAGACTGAACTTAAGAGCCGAGCGACTTCATTACAAGCACCCTGGCTTCTCTACCTGTCTCTTCTTTTATTGCAAGGCCAGCAGGTAAAATGGAAAACAGACAAGCTTCCCCACGCTCTGAAGAAACTGCCTTTGGCAGGGCTGCCAAAGGAACACAGAACCCCCCTCCCCACATTCGCTATTTTGGATTAAGAGATACACGAGGCTTCCGGTGCTGATGTGTTTTTGCTTTTTTTTTTTGGTGTTCCCTGCCTGCTCTGAACCCCAGGACCAAACTTCTGGGGTTTCTCTTTAAGTAGACAAAAAAAAAAAAGTTGGGTTTTTATTGTTAAAGGCCGCAAGTTGCAGGCTGTTTACTCTGCCCCAATGCAAAGAGTGTTTTTGCTTTTGAGATTTCTCCTATAAGGGTGCGGTGCTATTCCACAAACTGGGAACAGGCCAACTTCTAGGAAATATAAAATGCAAAAGCTGAGAAGCAAAATATTTAAGGTTATTATTCATTGTTAACTTAATTTCCTATCTGTATTATTATTATTATTATTATTTTTACATGTAAAAAGTGTTTGGAGGTAATAAAACTTCAGCCACTGTTGATTCTTGAATACAGGAGTTTGAATGCTTTTCAAGGCTTTTTGGGGCAGTCCATTGCAGCCTCTGGTGTGTCCAGCTAATAGAGGGCAGGGGTGGATTGGCACTAGAAGTCCTTTCAGTCAAGGTCTGCCCTGGCACTACTAGCCTATCCTAGTAACCATAAAGCTGGGCACTGATTAATACACCAGAGAAGCATACATAACCCACAGTTGAAGTGCAAGTATAACGTTTTATTAGAGCGTTTGATGCTTCAAGATAGAAAGCCAACAATTAGCAGCTGTATTTCTGACAACCTGATTGGCATTATTTTTATTTTATTTTTTATTTTTATTTTTAAAAAAGGATTGTCTTTGCCAACAACTATTTGTCAGCACAGCCAGTTTGAAAGTGTATATAAAAATATGGAGAAGAAAAAATTGCACATACAGGAGAGACATATATAGGCAGTTCTCGCCTTATAACCGCAATTGAGCCCAAACGTTTTGTTGCTAAGCGAGACGGTGAAGTGAGCTTTGCCCCTTTTTACGACCTTTCTTGCCACAATTGTTGAGCGAATCACTGCACTCGTTAAATTAGTAACACGGTTGTTAAGTGAATCCGCCTTCCCCATCGACTTTGCTCGTCAGGTCGCAAAAGGGCATCATGTCACACACACACACACACACCCCTCTGGGACAGTGTGACTGTCATAAATGTGAGTCCGTTGCCAAGCGCCTGAATTTTGATCACACAACCAAGGGGATGCTACAGTGGTCATTAAGTGTGAAAAAATGGTCATTTTTTTTTAGTGTTATTGTGACTTTGTCTGCTAAATGAACTGTTGTTAAGTCAAGGACTGCCTGTACTTTTAAGGCAGTGGTTCCCAAACTTGGCAACTTTAAGACTTGTGGACTTCAACTCCCAGAATTCCCCAGCCAGCGAAGCTGCCAAGGTTGGGAAACACTGCTCTACAAAGACCCAGTCACTGAAGCAGCTTTGGACTCCTGCATTGGCTGATTCTGGGGTACTGACTCAACTCCAGGTGGGTTGGCACTGCTGCATTCACACCATGCCAACCTGGTGGATTGGCACCTTGTGTGAACCCAGCAGCTTTCGCTTGGGGGAGTCCTCTACTTACAACCACAATTGGGCCCAGAATGCATGTTGCTAAGTGAGAAATTTGTTAAGTGGGTCTTGCCCACATTTCTTGACTGAATCACTCCAGCTGTTAATCAGCCGGTTGTTAAGTGAATCTGGTTCCCCCATTGACATTGCTTGTCGGAACGTCGTAAAAGACGACACTGGGATACCACTGCCACCGTCATAAATGTGGGTCAGTCGTCAAGCATCCAAATATAAATTACGGGACCTGCTGCAACAGTCGTAAGTATGAAAAATGGTCAAGAGTCTTTTTTTTCAGCACCGTCGTAACTGGTCACTAAACGAACTGTTGTAAATCGAGGACTAGCTATATTGCGGAAGATTTTTGTCTGGGCCTGCAGGGGGCAGAACTAAACCTTTCCAAGGAACCAATAGAGTTTCGGTTCCAGGGTGGCTCAGAATGATACGTCTTGTGATCCTAGGCGCCTGGAGGGGCAGCTTTTCCCCGCCCCGCTTCCCTCCCAACGTCAAGGCCGGAGCGGACCTCCGGCACAGGAAGGAACGGCGCTTTTCCGCCCAAGACCAACATGGCGATGCTTCCGGCAGTGGACCTCCCCAAGATGTCCGCCGCCACAGAAAACCGCAAGCCGCCATTCACCCTCCCAAGATGTCCGCCAACACAGGAAGCCCGCCTCCCACCTCCTCAAGATGGCTGCCCACCACACCTCGCCTTACGAGGCCGCTCCACGGGTCGCTACCCTCCCGCATAAAAACAAACCCTCCTCCGCTTCCCCTCCCTCAACAACCTCGCGGCCGCCTCCGCCTCCCTCACCGGGCCCCGACCGATGGAGCGCGGCGCCTTCCCGCCTCCTCCCCTCCCTTCCCTTCATGACCTTCTCATCATGGCGGCGCGGGCCCTCCGCTCACGTCCTGCGTCCTCCCCCCCTCCTCCCTCCCCTCCGGCCTGCTGCCGCTCCCGCCACCGCAGGACTCCCTTTCCCGCCCGCAGTTAGGCCCGAGCCTGGCCTCGAGTAGCGCTGGGGTGTTTTATGTGCGCGCGTCTGTCTGTGTGATTTTTCTCCTCAGAGGACGCAACCAGGCAGGCCGGGCCTCGCTGGCTCGCGCGCGCGGCCGACACTCAGTCTCGAGCTAGCCGGCCAGCGGGCGCGCGCCCGCGCTGCCTCCTCCTCCTCCTCCTCCCGCCCGCCCGCCCGCCGTGCCGCCCGCTCACTCCTTCGCGGCCGTCATCCTCGTCGCCGCCGCCGCCGCCTCCCTCCCGCCCGTCTTCCTCCTCCGCCCCCGCTGCCTCGTCTTCCTGCCTGGCCGGCTGGCTGTCGGCGGCGGCGGCTCCACGGCGCAGGCCCGCTGCAGCGCAGCCGCTCTGAGGTGAGTGTCCTACCGCGCAATCTCCCAGCAGCTCCTCACTCGCCGCGCGCCAGACCCGGCGCAGCCGCAGCAAGGCGGGGGCCCCCGC